TCCTTCAGTTCTATGGCTTTCTGTATAAGACCAGATTGCGTTTTCAGATGTCTTGGTCTATTTTCATAGTTGCTGAAGAACTTATCCATGGGAATGTGCAGTAGCTTCTCATACAGGATCAATGCCTTTTCTTTGATAAGGGAACATATTGTGGTGCTTATTGTAACTAGGAGCATTGCATCAATGGGTGTTAATTTTATCCCTCCAGTAATTAGTCGTAATGCTTGGTTGCGTGCCTTCTCGAGTGGTTTGAGAGTCACCTCTGTGACTGTAATGAGTGCCTCACAGCAATGCAACATAATTGGCTGAATAAACATCTTGTAAGTGGTGTTTAGAGTTGAGCGCGCACAGCCCCATACGCTACCAGCAAGACGCTTCAGTACATTCAGTCTATTGGAGACTCGTACTGCTATTTTAGCAATGTGACTTTTCCACGTTAGCTTTGTGTCAAAAGTCATTCCGAGATAAATGAATTCATTGGTTCTTTCTAGGGTAGTATCCTTGTATGTTGTGACGTTCCAAAGAAAATGTTTGGAATGCAGTTTTCGCGGTGTTGATTACCATTCCATTGTTGTCGCACTAGTTTGCACTTTCTGTCCTCTCCTGAGCTTTTTTCTTAGGGGCGGAATACCATAGGATAAGATCATCTGCATAAAGTAAGCACTTGATGCCCGTGACTGTCTGTACCAATTCGAATATGTCATTGATGAAGACATTGAAAAGAGGGCAGCTTGTGACAGCTCCCTGTGGAAGGCCTGTTTGTAAAAGATTGGATTTTGATAAAGCATTTCTATATCTGACTTTACATGATCTTTGTCCAATGAACGCTTTTATCCAGTTTAGCATGTTATGCTTAATACCAATCTTTGCCAATTTTAGAATTAGCTTCTCTTTCCATACTAAGTCATATGCTGATTTCAAATCGGCGAAAACAGCCGTAATGGTATTTCTTGCATTAAGGGCATCTTTGATGTGTCGGGAAAGAGTGACTACTTGTTGGTTCGTTGATCTTTGCGGCCTAAAACCTGCTTGTTCATCCCTAAGAATATTGTTTGTCTCAAGGAACCGAGTCAGCCTCCTGTTAACCATTCTTTCCATAAGTTTAGCCAGAACGCTTGTGAGGGAGATAGGCCTATAGTTGTCAAAGTTGCTAGGGTCTTTGCCCTTTTTTAGTACTGTTATTACTATGGCAATATTCCATTGGTTAGGATCGAGACTGGTCTCCCAGACCCCACAGTATCTGTTCTCTTTCATATTCACTCAAATGAACTAGCTTTTGACAATCCACTTCCTCGTTGCAAATATTCACTCTTCTTAGATCACAAGTGAATGCTTTTTTTCCATTGACGAAGTAAACGCATTGACATGGGAAATGATATGCATTTATTTATTTACTTCCTGGTTACCTCAGTGAGTTCTTCACAGGAGGTCTGGCATACCATGCAGTGGATGTAGAAAACTAATAATTGATAGCCGGGAGATGAAGCTTGTGAGTTACTTTCTAATATAATATGGGTAAATAAGTAGATTTCGCAACAAGGCTTGACAATACTAAGTAGTAATAACTAAAATAGTATGCTTGGATTAGAGACAAGCAGTAATTTACAAATACCCAATCACAAAGTAAACTCAATGAAGCGTAAATATTTATGAAAAATTTAGGCAACGATAGTCGTAATTGGTTTAAGGAGCTGACCAATGGGATGTGAACTCAAGTCATGCGTTTTCCTTAAATGTTCAAGGCGCAATGGCTTTTGTTTTCTAATTGTGTGTGTGTGCGAGCTTTCCCTTCATGATGCAAGGAAATTCCTCCACTGAAGAAGATACAGAAGTATGTTTCTTTCGTATTTCCCGATCCTTCAAAGCCACTTTGTTTCTTGCTCCTTTTGTTTAAATTATTAAATACGAAAAATAGGGTTCAACTTAACTGTTATTAAGTTAAGTACATTTATCTGGACGTATTCAGTAATTTTGCATTCTGATAAATAGGCAGTATCCACATATTTATCCACTTAGGCCGAAGGCAAGACCGGTTATTCAATCCATGTGTAAATGTTCCTCATTTGCAGTTTTCATTAAAAGCTGAAAATACTTGGATTTTGGTTTAACTCCATGCAATATTTGTTTCATAACTCTGTGCAACACGTATATAATGTTAAATTATACAATCATTTTTATAGAAATGTTTTTTACCCAAAATTGTTTTCTTTCACTAGCGTTCATTATGTCATATAATTAAATTCTTCCGTTTTAACCTGCTTTTAATGAACTAGATTGAATTTAGATTAAGTTGAATATGTATTTAAAATATCCACAAAAATGACCACTGATGGGAAAAATTGAATTTAGTTTTAAATTTTGGAGACAGCTATTTGTGTATTCACTCCATTGGTTCTTGGATGAACGCGACTGAAACTGTTCATTATTCATTAGTAGACAGGCCTTAAATAGTCTGGTAGCAATTGCGTTTGAACATTACATCATTTATACGTATAGGTGATGGACAATTTTCCAACTCTCAATCCATGAATTCCTCCTTGTAGGACGCTTTTTCCAGGAATACGGAGAAGAGATTTATGCGAATTCTGTACGAATATGTAGACAGCTCATTGGAAGACAAACGATTTCTCATAGTCAACTGTGAAAATGTCTTTGGGGAACGCGATGACGTAAGACCCCTCTCTATCTCCCCATCTCTCTTATTTCATACAATTTTTACTATTTTTATGCCTCATTGAAAAGGATCAAATGGGATATATGCAAAATGTCACCTATTTTAGATTCCAGTTTGCTCGACGCTGAGAGCATAGCAGATTTAAAATAGCTTAAGGTACTTAAATATTACATAATTAGTTAAGAAAGGATAAAAATTTATCCAGGAATCTTTCCTATTAATTAACGACTTCTTGGCAAGCGTCATTAATTGCCCTACTGTGCATCCACTTGACTAAATTTTTATTTATTTATTTATGACGCGCTTCCTATTTAAACACCCTGAAACTCCAAAGTAGCTTGGATTTGCTAAATATTGCCAGGGCATTGATGTGAGCATCTTATTAGCCCGAGAACAACGAGAGAGGATTGGGAAAACGAAAGATAATTTTAATCACAATTATTTATATCAAATGGCAGGCGCTTGATGGTTATCATTAGCCCTTCAGTTGACTTCAGGCTTCACAGAGGGGAAGGAACATCAAAGTGAAAAATAGTTGAGAGGGGAGGGAACAGAAGAGTGTTTCAAAGACGAAGGTAGAAAAGGTAGAAAAAAGGTGAGGTGAGTACTGTGAAAGGGGTCAAATATGACAAGCAGTCGGGCCATGGTAGTTTGAAGTGAGAAGTCAACTGCCGGTTTATAGACTTTTTTGCCGTATGAGTATATGTTGCCCAGGGTGCACACGTGGAGATAAGTCTATCGCAAACCCCTTAATTACAATTATCAACTAGTGGTTAATAGAACCGCCCTAGTGATATTGGAGATATATATATATATATATAGTGGATGATGCACAAATAATCTTCGACTACAACCGAACAAACTTCGCTGATTAAATCCCCTGGCAAAAACGTACTTTCGAAATTAGCTAAGCTATCTCAATAGTATGAAGGAAACAGAGCTATACTACAACCTCTGGCTTACTGACATTGAGCTTATTCAGTGGCACCGGGGCGTCTTCTCAGCTATTCTAGTGTACTTGAGCCATCTTAGTTTAGTCATATATTGGCGTGATTTATTTATGTGGGCACTTGGGGCTCTGAATAATGAATCTTTTGCGGATTAAGATTGGCATACCACTAAAGGTTTTATCAGTCACTTTTGATTTCCCCGTAAGCCAAAATTAGGAACTGGCGTAGATGAAGCGATAAGATAACAGATCTAATCCAATCTTTGCGTTCAAGGGAAACTTATTTTTCTATTATATCTAATGGAAATTCATTTCACTTCCATCAAAAGTTAAGCCTAAAAAGAATACCAATGTTAAAATTATTTATGTGCATTTTTAAATTAATTTCTGCAAGTTTCATTGACAAACCGTTTCGGTGCCAGTGTATTTTCTTTGAAGAAATTGATAAATTTCCCATTTTTACCCATAGTCTGATTGGATGCTCTCAACGTTGGAAACACTGGCTGGCTTATTAGAGGAGATTGACCTAAACTCGACAAACTCCCGGCATAAACTTCCGGATGTTCCTTCAGATTCAGGTGGTGGGAGGAATCCATGGACATTTACTCCCCACAATGCTCAGTATATCACCTATCTTATGTCTCGATTAATTGGTATCAAAGCCGTTGATGTCCGCTCTCGGAATCTAATTCACAAAATCATACTCCGGCAGTTTCGAAACGCGAGTTGCGCACAAGTAAATGAGAAAATTTGAACATATTTAAGGCATTGCAAACACTTGACTTGAAACAGCAACTTATCGATACTCTAACTTCGACTATTAGCATTGATATTCAAAGAACGAGAGTACGAAATTTTGTTTAAAACAGTAGCTTGATATGTGTGAGGTTAAATTTGGGCTCAAATATCTAGATATTTTGTAATAATATTAGATCCTCAAATAGACAATACTTCTCAACTAATGTTTGAAAGATGCTTATCCAAATATAATAATATTTTATGAAAACAAAAGTTAAAACTGATAATAACTTCATGGATTAGGGGAATGACATTATTTGTGCTTCTTACAAACCGTTTTAAAATTTTCCACAACTGATGAGGAAACTAGAATGTCTTTACAATGCTTTAAAACTCTCAATTAAAGCCATTTTATGTCAAGTTTTAGCAATTACTTTATAGGCGCATATGTCAACCTATTCAACACTCAACTGTCAAAGTATGACACGTTCCAGTAAGACTCTAATTAAGTAAATTTATTTAATGATCATTTTTAGCAGGCACTACAAAAGATAGCCATCAGAGACCCGACGTTCTATCGTCTTTCGGGAGGGGGGGGGGAGATTAATGATATATGGCACGTTTGTTCAATGTATTATTTACACATAATAAAAAAACGCTCCCTACGATAAAGACGGCAGGTAAACACATTTCCTCGTATCGGTTGTCAAAATACACTTAGTTGCTGTCATTAGATAGCAAATTCACTTCGTTCTCACCTTCTCACACTCCCCCCCCTCCTTTCTCTATCTCTCTCCCCCTATGAGGTAATCACATTAGTGGACGCTCATGCAGATACAATATTTTGCCCTAATTAGATTGGACATCTCTCGCAATCATGGGTTTTTTGTTGATATAGCATTAGTATATATATATATATGGAAAATGTTTGCCAATTTGTGTATAGGTTTAGTGATAAATTACAACTCTATCGAAATAGTATTTGCCTAGTTGAGTGGCCTACTCCACCGTGAATGAGAATGAAAGAACTCATGGTTTTCTGAAGGAAATTAACTTTGATGAGTCAAAAACGATAAATAACCCTCCTATCACATTTTTCGCAGCATTCAAGAAATGAACTTCCCAATTTAATAAAATTCTAGGTTACGGATGGCTGTGGATCTTTTAAAAGTGAGCATTTGCGCGAATTTTTATTGCTACTTAAAATAGAGAAAATAAATTAATTATCTTTTATATCAAATTCAAGAGTGAGCGATCTTTACTGTTGGTGACAAAAGAATAATAAATTGCATACAGCCATAGAGAGGTTAAAATTCTCTGATTTCCATTCTGAAAGATGAAATTTTTCTAAACATAATCAATTGCAATATGTGTTCCATAAGGCTTCATGGAGTGGTGAGTTAGTGGTTACCAGTGTAATTGGTATATTTATATTAAATGTTAGGATTTATGGTAGTCATCATTTGTCCATTAGTTGACTTCGGGCTTCACAGAGATGAGGTGGTACATCAAAGTCACAAAAAGTGGGGAGGGGAACAAAAGAGTGTTTCACAGATGTAAATATGACAGACTGACACAAAGGTAGGGAAAAAGGAAAGGTGAGTACCGTGGAGGTGATCAAATATGACATTCCATCGGGTCATGGTAGTTTAAAGTCAGAAGTCAACTGTCAGTTCATAGCCTTTTTTGGCGTATGAGTATACGTTGCCCAGGGTGCACCAGTTTTTTGCCGTATGAGTATACGTTGCCCAAGGTGCACCACATTTTTGCTGTATGAGTATACGTTGCCCAGGGTGCACCCGGACTCTTTTGCCGTGTATACGTTGCCCAGGGTGCACCAGTTTGTTTGGCGTATGAGTATACGTTGCCCAGGGTGCACCACGTGAAGGTAAGTCTATAGCACATCCCGGCTTTTGGTATATGATATTTTACAATAGAAGTCGGTTCAGCGAAAACGAAATAATGACCTGTGAATAATTTGACCAGATAAAATTTGGTTCATAATTTTATTTAATCAATTAAATATATGGTCTAAAACAGTTCTAGAGGTCAGTGATTTATGTTCAGGCATATTGAATGTAAATCGTTCAATAAAAATGCTGTGAAATATTTGAGGAATCAAAATAGGTTTTGGCAGCATTATTTTCTTAATCAAGCCTTAGTGAAATGCGTCCAGAAAATTCTTGGCGTTAAAAAATTACCGCATGACTGGCCACTTAATTTAATTGTCAATTAGCGAAGATTATCGCAGCTTGCGCTCGCTTATGAACCCAGGGAATAAACCACAAAAATTTATGCTTCAGCCATTGGTACTACAGGCTTTGCCAATTGATGAGAAAATAAAAAAATACACGACTAGCTTCATGAAAAGATGGAATTATGACTCCCGTAATGCTCTTAGCTAACTCCCGCAACATAAATCTTTCTCTTCATCTCCTTTTAAACTTCTTAATTCGAATGATTCTCAACACAGTACTCATATATATATATATATATATATATGACCATTTTTATTTGCCTAAATGAATGATCTCTCTAAGTACTATTTGGTAAGAAGACAAATATGTCTGATTACCTTTATCTTGATAATTATTTATATCAAATGGCAGGCACCGCGTGGAGGTAAGACTGTCGCGCACCCCTTATCTTGATAATGAACTTGTAAGCACATATTACCCATTTGGAATTTTATGGAAGCACTTGCGAAATGAATATCTTCGTTTGTTTTCTTGGCGTTTTAAAATTTACGCAGTTTACGAAATTCTCAAATGGTATGTGCTGGCTTTATCACTAATCTTTAATGTTCAATGCATTTTTCTTTTAGGTGAAAGCGGCCTTGCTACGATTCTCAAAGTATTTCGTGCGGTTTTTAACTCCAACTGAAGTGAAGGAATATGTACTCCCGTTGCTATCACTATGCTTGAATTCCAGAAATTTAGAAACTCTGGTGAGTCTTTGAGTATAGTTTATTTTCATATTTGTATTAAGGCGTGCATTATCACAATATTCAATTTCACTAAAAAAACCTTTTTTCAAAGTTTTCCTATTGCCATTTAGGTAGCTTATATTAATTGATGCTATTTCTAATAAAATTAATACTGAAATAGATGAGAAAAAATTATTTCCATTTTAATCCACAAGCACTATATTTAACCTTAGTTTGCTCCGAATGGCTGTTGAGTCCTTTTATTGAACTCTTTGAAAAGTGCGCACCACTATCAAGTTTAATCAACTGAGACTCACGCTCACTGAGACTTTCTGTGAAGTACAGCGTGCCAGCGATGGTGTTTTGAAATAGAAGGGCCTTCCAGCCAGTCAGTGATTAATGTTCATGCAGCATAATTTAGATGTGCTTAAAATTACTAACCACTTTCACGAAACTCTTCCATCTCAATTAAGTAAGAAAATGGGAATATATTTACAGTATAAAGCAATTTTTTCAAACCATTGTAACTTTTTGGACAATATTTCAAATTTATCTATCAGCCTAGTTAACTCCACTTACAATTCTGAAAATAAGCTGTTAACACTAAATTTTAACAAATTCCCAAGCCCTTTACGTCAGTAGCCAGTTGGCTAACGAAGTAAAGTTAGAAATTAGATTATGCAATTTCTGATAAGTAGTCAAATGAAATGTTTAATTTATAATTCTCTGGCTTATATTGTACCATTTGCACGAATTTATGAATTAAAAGTAATCTTAATGCAATATGACGGTACAATCTACTTTGGATATTTCTCTTGCTTCTACTCTTGCATTATACTTCATTTTTTTCAAATCACTCTCGACTTTTTCAACTCTTTACTTTGAGAATTAGCTACATAGCCGAATAAAGTCGTAATTTTGATTCAAATAACACAGCACCTTTGCGTTTATGAGCACACTCATATATAGGTACAAAAATGATATTTTAATCAACTTTTGTCCCGCACAGATAAATATTATCATGAAAGATAAAATTGGCACCGATTAAATTATAATTTGATTTTTTTCTTGAATAAAGGCTGCAGCAATGGAAGCGCTTCCAAAGCTTGTGGAATATCCAATCTCCGCGGAAACATATGAAAAATGTTTGAAAAAAGCGATAAACGCTTTCAAAAAGAGCTCTTCAAGACCACAGGTATGACCTTTAAAGATTAACTCCTTTTTCGGCTTAATTCAAACTGCGTGCAATGAAAGGGGCTCCTTTGAATTTAGAGGGCTTATTATATGACCACTATTTGTAAATTTTTCAGTATCTCAAATAGTGAAAACGTTATTTTGTCGCTCTGAAAGCCATCAAATCGTTATTAGAATTTCACTTAATTTTACAACCGAAAAAACCCCCTTAAAACATTAATATTTACTATTTGCAATAGGTAATTTTACGCTTACCCCAGTACATAAGGTTACTGCCTTGCTGGTAGTCAATATATTCTAGTTGACATCATGCCAGCGTACAAGAGTAAAATATTCTTTTCTGTTAGGCAAATTTTAACAAAATAAGCGGATTGACAGATCCAAAAAAATCATATTCTCTGTATTTCAAAGAATAAAATATTAAAATAAAATCAGTTGTTTCTTTGCAATTCGAGTATGAAATGAAAAGTTACTTTGTCTATTAGCAATGCAGAAAGCCAGAAATGAGGTGAAGATCTAAACTTTTGAAATGCTAATACTGGGATTCCAATTAAAGCATAAGATTGACAACTGAACAAAATCAAATCTAAGGTGTTATTTATTTAATAATCAGAAGTAACAATCTGGTGTATATTAGTGCTTAAACAATTAAGTAATAATGAGTCACCATGTGGTAGGATCGTGTTCTCTCCTTTGCAAAGTCTTACCGACAGCCTACCAACAAATTACCACACACAGTTTAGGATATGAGAATAGAAATATTTTGGGGGACAGAATTTTAATGTATATCTGATGAGTAAAACACATAAACAAGCGATTTAAATTGCGCATTAATTTTTTTCATTTAGATCCAATCAGTAGCAGTTCAATGCGTTGGTAATATTATATCTCAATTATCTCTCGATGTACTGGAAAATATTCTCCTGCCCTTTGCTCTAGAGGCAACTGCAGAAGCTGCAAACAACGCCGGAACGGTGCGTGTCTCTGGAGGAGGTGGTGAGCGGAATTCTACTCAGAGAGGCTCTGCAACAGCAGCCCATGACGCCCCTTGGCTCATTCCTGGTTACCTCATCGAATTTGACTTCTTCCTCTCTGAAGGAGAGCCAGTCATCTCACTATGCTGTAAGCTTAACAGTTTAATTCAGCTCACTTCTTAAGCTCTGTGACCATCAGCTGGAAAAAAGGAAAAATCGGTAGATGCCTTTCATTTGGTGAAGTAATATTACTTACTTTAAATTAAGTGGTCTTGTGCGTTAGGTTAGTTTTAACTCAGTTATTAAAAGCATTCAATAACAACAAATATTTAATGAAGCACTTTTCATGCTCCTCTTGAATTCGGTCACTAACTTTGGAAAGTAGGCTCAATCAGTAAGGTGGGCACTGAAGGGCTTCGAATGCGTAATTTATTTAATGTAAATGTCAATCACAGCATAGTTGCATGAAATAGAACTAAATTTTATTTTGCTGATTTGCTTAAGTTCGCGAAGTTACTCATGAGAAATGTCGAGCACAAAAAATCGAGCATGTTTCAGGGTTTTCGGGTTTTTAGACTCCTTAATAATTTATTCAATGTTACTTGTCCAGATTTACATATTACCTACGTTTTCTCATCAATATTTTTATGGGACATTTTAGATAAGAAGATAAATAAAATAAAAAATAATTTCATTAAATGAAGTATGATTATGGCTTTATAAAAAATTTAAAAAAATACGAGGTGTGAAATCTAACTTTATAGATTTAGACCCTTAATTTCCGTATAATACGTGCAAATAAAGACTTACATTTATTCATTTGTTCCAAATGGCGGGCTTCATGATACTTATCGTTAGCCCTTTAGTTGAGTTCGGGTTTCACAGAGGTTAGGGACAACAAAATGGAAAAAAGCCTAGAGGGGGAGCGGAAGAGTGATTCAAAGATGTAAAAGAGACAGACAGACACAAAGGCAGAGATTAGGTAAGATGAGTACGGAGGAAGTGGTCGGAAATGGCATACAGTGGGGTCATGGTAGTTTAAAGTCAGAAATCAACTGAAGATTAATAAACATTTTGCCGTATGTGCATACGTTGCCCAGGGTGCACCACGCGAAGGTAAGTCTATCGCACACCACATAAAGGCTAATATAAATATTACTCTTAATTTACTCTGGTCAATTTGAATTCCAAAGTATTTGAAATTATCTTGTCAATTGGCTTAAGGTTTGTTGAAAACCATGCTACGGGAGCGCCGATCAATTCTTTCACCGTCAATGATTGCCTTGGAAATACTGCCGTGTCTTTTGCCCCACACTCTCAATAAACAGTGGCAATTTAGTGAGGTAGGTTCAACTTTTTTTGCTAATCAAGGAAAAAAAGGATAAATCACAATTTGTCTCATCGCAGCATTGCTGCGATTTTCCATGTGAAACAATTAGACTAATGGCAAATATGAATTTAGCCTTCAATTTTAGTTCAATCTAACCCTAATCGCATTATTACTCATTTTCATTTTTTAAAAAATGTCCTAAAAGTATGGCATTAAGGTTGTTGTCCAATAATTCTCATTCAAAAAGCCGTCATTGCTTTCA